GGGTCCAGCGGGGGGAGCGAGCTTGGGATCCCCGACCCCGCCCGCGCGCATCGGTTTCTCCTGCACGACTTTCAGGCCGGCCACCTCGGGCGCCTCACGTTGGATCCGCTCCCGGCGCGGGTGCTGAACCCCACCCCGGCGGGCTCCTCCGCCCCCCGCCTCCCACCCCCACCCCCTCCCGCGGAGGACCCGCCAACCGGGGAATGGGGCGGCGGCGACGACCCCCACGATGACGGCGTCGCCTTCACGCATCACGTCGAGTCCGTCGAGGTGACGGCGCGCTATCCGGATCACATGCGGGCGGTGATGGAGGCGCTGCGCGGACCCCCCGCCGCCGCGAGGGGCCGCGCGGAGGAGGGGGTGATCAGCCGGCGGAAAGGACCCATCAGCCGCGCCTCCGCCTTCGAGGAGGAGTACCGGCGATGCACGAGGTTCGCTAAGGGGCGCTGAGGCGATTCAACCATCGCCGCTTTCGTCCTTTTCCTTAGGAGCCTCAGGGAATGAGGCGTGGGGTGGGGTTGGGGCGCTTGTCCAGGGAATCCTGGAGTCTTTATCGGGCTACTTGCGATCTGGTGAAGAGACTTTCGTCGCGAGCCGGTCTATCGGCTTCTCGAGAACGGTGAGAAAGAAAAAGAGATCAAGAGGGATGGAAGTTTGGTTGGAGAGGGCTCATTGGAAACGATAAGCTTTTGATTATTTTTAAGACAGTGTGTGTGCATTACTATCCATAACGTAGCGTTTTTTTTTTTCGGAGGGGAGGAGAAAGGAGTCATGCTTTTGTAAGGTACCAATCCGTTTCGAAGACGCCAGACGACGGAACCGCATGAAAAACGGAAAAGGATCAAAATGCTCTCAATTTGGACCATCTGGAAGTTAGAAGGGGTGGAGAAAGGGGTGATTCGGTTGAATTAAACACGCACCCATATTTTGGTCATACCGTCTGTCCAATTTTCACATAATGGAATTGTATGGATTATAACTTTGGTCAAGACAAAGTACCCCCTCCCCTGAAGGTACTATCTATGCAGGTCTATCTTATACCTTCCACTTTACCAGGGTACCACAATCTCACCTAATGGGTACCGTCGGTATTTCTTTTTTAAAAATCTTCTTTATTTCCTTTCCTTCTTTTTTTTTAAAGGTTTGGATCGTGTTTTAGTCTGGGATTATCCGCAACAATACGAATGGAGGCACCTCCGAAGTGGACGCGTCTTCCGATGCGCACCCGGCCGCATCGAAACCCCCTCGCGGAGAACGACGACGGGCACCCCGACAGCCCCCGCGCCTTTCACGCGAACTTCCCGCGATTCTTCCCCGCCATGCAGAACCCCGTCGTTGAGTTTGTTGACGTGGGCTGTGCGTTTGGTGGGATGCTCTTCGAGCTCGCCCCGCTCTTCCCGGAGGTTTGTATGTTAGGGCTGGAGATTCGCCCGAAGGTGGCGGCCTTCGCGCAGCAAAAGACGGAGGCCCTCCGCGCCTCCCCAGACGCCGCGCACCACTTTCGAAACGTCTGGTTTGAGCCGCTGAACGTGATGAAGTTTGGCTCGAATTGCTTTACGAAAGGCCAGCTCAGCAAGCTGTTCTTTTGTTACCCGGATCCGCACTGGAAGCGGAATAACATCCGGCGGCGGATTATCTCGCCCGGGTTGGTGCATGAATACTGCTATTGGCTTCGAGGTGGGGGTCTTTTGTACACCGTCTCCGACGTGGAGGAGTTAGAGGCGTGGATGGTGGAGTGCCTAGACGCGTGCCCTCTGCTAAAGCGTCTCTCGGATGCGGAGCTCGACGACGAGGAGTCGAAGCAGATCCTCCACGTGGTGACAAATACCAGTGAGGATGCCCAAAGAACGCAGCGGAAGGGCTTGAAAAAGTACTTCGCAGTGCATCGACGCGTCTGAAGGCGCTTCGTGACCCTTTAGCATAAGTACTTCTCTATAAGGGGAGGGGAAGGGGAGGAGAGGAAGAGAGGGGGGGGGGGGGAGGAAGAGGAAGAGGGAGAGGGGAGGAACCTCGGAGGCAAGGTGAAGCAATCCAAATCAAATAATAGGGTACTGTACAATAACCTCTCGGGTCTATGCACCTTTACTTTGACGCTAAAATTTTCTCAACAATGCGTTTAAGGGTTCTGTTGTAGATGATTTAATCGGTTAAGCTTTCATGCCTTTTTTTAAACACTTAATTAGACTTTTGCTTCATATTTTCACTATTTCTTCTAGTCATACTAATGGGGTATCCATGACGGAAGGGGCATCACTCGAAATGGTTTCCCCTTTTCATTGTTGTGCATTTAAATTCTTGAAATGTTAGTCATTCTTCTTTCCCATCTAATCTTTTTTATTTTTTTTCAAAAATTCATCATAGATGAAAGGAGAACACATCTTTATATATACATTATCCTCCCTCACTTGATAGGTTTTGCTCATGGTTTTAGAAAATACAACCTCAATGGCAATTGTTTTTGCCAGCGTTCTGGTCGTTGTTCATGTTGTTATAGTAGTGGTGCTAATTGTATATTTAGCCTCCCAATCTCGTGGAAAGGTCTCTCCTCTGATGCTCTCTGAAAAGGAGCGGCTCAAGGCCAAAAAGAAGGCACAGAAGCACGATTAGACCTTCTCATCCGTGATGAGAAAAGCGAAGGGATGTTATCAAGGAGTATCGGCCTCCTGTATTTTGTTGCTCTCTATTTCATGTATTGATAAATGCGTTTATGAGCTTTTTTATATCGGTTTTGTTACACCGGGTTTACCAACTTATCCTGGACTAATAATCTACTATAGGGTATTTTATTCCTTTGTCTACCGCATGAAACCGAGCTGTGTGAATCATTGACTATTTAGCAGCTTTCTTTTGACTTTTATCCTCCATCAGTGAGAAGGAATCGAATGCGAAGGTGATCATTGCAATTTGCGAAATGAATAGCATCTTTATTGAGCTCAGCCTGAGTTGACTGGAAGGCATAAACATACGCTTTCAAATGCAAAATTAGACAGTTGGCTTATGACATACCGAAAATCACTTAGTTAGCTATTTGTCAAGAAGTATATATCTACATTATTTGCCCTGAAAGCCTATTCTTGTAATAACTATTGGTTATCTATCATTCTAATGGCTTCATCTATCTCTAACATCAGAAATTTAGTAAATATCTATATCTCTCTCTATATAGATACACATATCCACTCATTAAATTTTATTTACATTAAATAACATATTCCGCATCCGGCAATCATGTCATACCGTTCCAGTGAGGCTAAGAAGGAAGAGTTCCGCAAGTATTTGGAGTCCAATCAAGTTATTGACGCACTAACACGAGTGTTGGTGAATCTATATGAAGAGCCCGAAAAGCCAGAGGATCCGGTGGAATACATAAAGAAAGTGTTAGGAGGAGCTTCGGTAGCAGACTACGAAGCCCTCCAGCAAGACAACGTGCGCCTACGTGCGGAAGTGGAGACGCTGAAAAGAAAATTGAGTGAACTTTCTCCAGCACAATAAGCAAAAAAGAAGACAAGAGGAGGAGTATGACAACAATTATGACGGAGAATGAAATATAGTCTTGAATTTGGTGCAGATGTTTTTTTTTTGTTCTTATTGATGTTTATAGTACCATTTGGTATCAAGAGCGTCCCGTACGCTATATTTGATGCTACAGATAATTGTCCTTGTAAAGATGATAATATTTTCACTCCCTTTTCATGATTCTCGATGCTATGGGTGTTGTTCTCCGATTCTTTTACCCCTTATTCTTCCTATCTCCTTGGGTTTAGTAGTGTAATTTTTATTCCAAAATCTATTGCTTGAAAGTTTAGCAATTATCGTTGTAGTATAGATACAGGTTTGCACGTATCCGTATTTATCTATTCGCCCATAGACACTCGGATATCCTCCCTCCCCACCCAAACACACACACATATATAAATAGATATACATATATATATATATTTATAAATATATATGTATATATATATTTCAATAGGAGTAATTTATCCATATAGAATATATTTTTAATACGCTTGTATTGAATTAGGATGTCGAACGAAGAGAAAGGTGGTGAAAAGCACGAGGAGAGCGATTTGTCGTACTCCACGGGTTGGGTCGCGAATGGGCTTTCCTGGTCCCCGAGTGACGACGTCCCCTTCTGCTTCGCCGTCTCCTCGTACATCCAAAGCTACAAAAACTACGTCGACGTGGTGGAGAAGGACGATGGGGGCAGACTGGTCTGTCGCGCGCGTTGGGAGCACTGCTACCCGCCAACAAAGACGATGTTCAGTCCTAAGCGGATGAGCGGGGAGTTCATCATCACGACCGCGGATTACCTGCGGTTGTGGGAGATCACCCCGAGCGAGGCGGGCGACGGGGCCGCCCGCGGCCCTGGCGAGGATCCTGCGCGCAAAGGAAGAGGCGGGAAGGAACGCGGCGGCGACGGCGGGGGGGGCGAGGTACTCCGCTCGAAGGTCGCGATCAAGCGGGTGTTTGATAACGGCAAGCCGAACGACTTCTGCTCGCCGGTGACGTCGTGTGATTGGAGCGCGGAGGAGCTGGGGACCGTCGCGTGCAGCAGCATCGACGCCACCGTCACCATCTGGGATCTCGAGCGTGGCGTGCAGAAGACGAAGTTGATGGCGCACGACAAAGACGTCTACGACGTGGCCTTCGCGTCGGCGCACACCTTCGCGAGCTGCGGCGCGGACGGCTCCGTGCGCTTCTTCGACCTCCGTGAGATGGACCACAGCACGATTCTCTACGAAACCCCCGCGCTTCACCCTCTTCTCCGCGTGGCGTGGAACCAACAGGACGCGAACTACATCTCCACCTTCGGGATCGATGGCCTGCATGCGGTGGTGATTGACGTGCGCTATCCTACCGTTCCCGCCTCGCTGCTTTCCTCGCGACATCAGTTGCCGATTAACGGGATGGCGTGGTCGCCACAGTCCGCGCAGAATATCTGCACCGTGGGGGAGGATGGCGTGGTGTGCATCTGGAGCGCGAACGGGGAGGTGGGGGTTTCGCTCTTTCAGTACACCTGCGGAGTTCCCATCAACAACGTCGCGTGGAGGAACACAAACAAGGAGGACTGGATCGCGATTACAACAGGCGAGGGAGCGAAGGTGCTGCGCCTTTGAATTCTTGTTCTTGGCCTTGTTTGGTTTTCTTCCCGAGTAGATGAATGGAACCTTGTTCCCCTCTTAATTCTCCTCTTATCATTTTTTTTTTTTTGGGGGGGGGGGGGGGATGGAAATAAAGCGTGTTTGAAGAGTAAAGGTTGGTGTCTTTGTTTCTTTTACTCTAATTATACGAGTTTAAATCCTTGAAAAACTCCATTTGTATTTACGTTTGTTCCTAGTAAAAGTAAACAAAAGAGAGTGACAAACCCTCTCCCATATGTATACCTATATATATGGTTCCATGTCTTCATCAACTTCCAGATTTATTTTTTTGCTGCTCCTTCCTAGAGCAAGAAAAAAATCTTCGTATGGTGGTGTGAATGCGATAAATAATGGAGATTACAATACGTAACTATACTATTCTCAGTTCCTCGTGAGCTCTCCTATTCGTTCCCTTATCACGTGTAGTAGCATAAGAAAGCCAAAGCCGTGTAAACGACGAAAGTAGAAAGGCAAGGAAAGGGGAACTTTATGTCGTTGTTGAACACCACGTTACAGACTCTTGTGGTGCGTCTGCGAGATATGTCGGGCAATGTAACGGAACAAAAGCTCCACAATCGCGTCTTTGACGCCTATGAAGCGAAGTCGCTCGTCTTCGAGGCTATTACCCCTGAACAACAGATGGCGATGCTGCAGTTTGGTGGAACCATTCCGCCCTCCCATCCTGCCGGGCAACCTATTCTTATTGATTCTTGGAATGATCTCACTAGTATTCATAAGGAGGGAAACCTCTACCAATTGCTTGCACGGCGAGCGCGAAATAACTCCGGCTATAACGTGATGCGCGCGATATGTTCAAGCGCCGGATCCCCTTTTACCATGGATCACCGCGTGGATCCGGTGGATTACAAATTTACCTTTCGCGCAGCGGACTTTGAGATTCGAAATAAATTCAATGCCGAAAATCAGGATAAGGTCCCCACTACGATTTGGTTTGATGGGATCTTAAAAGCTCCCAAGGCGTCGGCGCTCGTTGGCTGCTATCACTCGCTTTCCCCTGCACACGTGAATAATATGGCAGGAACGGTACAATTTTTGAAGGGTTGGGTTCACACGCCCTCTGATGGGGATCGCCACCGGCAGTTGAAGGAGCTCTACGCCAGCCTTTTATCGAATCCGACGCACATGTTTTTGGGAGCGAATGCCGTTCCGGGAAAAGAATTGTTGAACTATGCGAAGTCAAAAAATGTGTTTATCTATGCTAAGAAAGGAATGCGTTTTCTGTATCATGCGTAATTCTAACACGGTTTCTTTTTCTCTTCACAGATGTACTCTCTTTCAAGGCTTGGTTGTTTTTGTGTATTCGTTGAGGTTGGGTGTTTTGTTGAGGTATACACGGTGTTTGTTTACAACATCGCATATATTTATGTTTTATCCGTCGTCGTATGGTTACTCGCATTCTGAGTAGGATCGATATGGTGAGTTACACTACGCAAAACAGAGCAAACAAAGGGGGTCTTGGTTCGTCTGTCTATTAAATTTAAGTGGACACTACTTAATGTCACTGATTTTTTCCTCCCCTATGATCTTGGATTATTCTGTTCTATGTCTTGTATAAGTCAATAACCCAAAAATATGCTCACGAGATCTATTTAAATGCATTCGCTGATATTTATTTGCTGATACCTCATGATCCTCACAACTCTTTTTCTCTTAGATACCGTGCTACTATTTTACCGATAGTGCTGCTTCTACTTTCTTTTAGGAGGCCGTTCTTTTAATAATCTTTTGACTTTACACTTTCTAGCTATCCACGTTCGGGGCTCTATTTATTCGTCACCATGAGCGTAGTTAATGAGGATGATGTAGTTGGCTATTACATGAACGCGACACTTGTCAATGGCAGCAAGGTGAGCGGGACAGTCTTCACCTACCTCCCAAAGGAGGGTCTGCTCGTACTGCTGCAGAACGTTAAGGAACAACCTTCGATGAAAATGATTCGGACCCCGTTCATCAAGGAATACACCATCAAATCAAGTGTTCCAAAGGAGCACAGTCTTCCACATCAACTGGAGCCCTTTGAGCAGCTGCCGTCAATGCATGCGGGGCGTGATAAGTCGATTTTCAAGCACGCCAGCTCGCAGCTGAAGCAGGCGGAGGCGCAGCAGATGAAGCACATGGGGGGTATGGATCCTTCAACGCCGATTGCTGCGTGTGATGCCTTCGTTCGTGTGGCGCGTGTTTACCCTGATATTAGCTGGGATAACGAAGAAAAGATCATCCGCGTAACGAGCGAAGTCGTAATCGTCGGAGAGCCAAACTGGATGACACCCAAACCAATCCTAGTTGATGGGGCACCGGAAAAGGAAAAACTGCTCGCCGATCGTATTCAGAAATTGTTAAATGGGGTAAAGAAATAATAAATAATATGTAACAACTTGAGGGCGTGATGCTTTAGAGGAATGAAAAAAGAATAGTGCGTTAATTCCTTAGGTACGTAGATTGATCAAAATGTTGGCAAGATATATATATATATATATATATCTATAATAGAAGCAACGATACGTTAGTGAGGCATAGAAGCTTCGCTCTTATTCTTGCCTCTCGCAAGTTGGAAATGAAAAGAACTATAAGGAATAGATGTTAAGTGGCAATAAATTCGAAGTTGACCTTGTCGTTTTCTCATGCTTATAATTAATGGAGTATTTATGATTTGATGCCACGTGGGCAGCTGGTAATGTGTAGATGTACATTTTTTATCCCTTCCCTTTCACTCTTTCGTAGTAGCCCATCTAATTAGGGGACCTTTCTGAAGCAACGATAAATATTACTTTTGGTACGTGGGGTGTATCCCGTAAATCTTCTTTGTGTAGGTAATGCCTTGTAGTCTATGGGTGAAGATGTGAATGTCGTGGAAGACAATGAAAACGAAGCCTCCTCTCAGGCTAAGTCGGAGCGCTATCGAAGGCAGGTTCGCGAGCAGGAGCGCCTGGAGCGACTCTATGGAAAGCTTACAGATTTATCCTACTCCGATATCACCCGTACGCGTGGCGGCCAGGTTGACTTCATACGGCCAAACACCTTGGTATGTATCCGTGGATCTAAATCGCAGTTCGATGCGCGGTCCGGGCAGATGAAGGCGCTTCTCCCGCCCTTAACCTCCGACTGTTGTCAAACCTTCTCCGCGCTCTCCGCGGTTTTGCTTTCCTCGCTCGGGTTCGCCGTCATGCTCAGCGAATGCTGCACGACGTCGACGGTGAACTACCTCCTCTACGTCGCCGCCTGGATGCACCAGCTGAGCTGCACTAGCTGGCCGCAGAAGGGCCTGCGGCCCACCCTACGCGATTTGAATGTTTGCCTGCATCTCCGAAGCTTCTTTCCAGCCTGCGTCTGCGATGGCGAGTTTGAGGTGGTTTTCTACAACCAACCCCGCAAGGTAACGACGCTGCTCCACCAGATGTGCGGCGTCGGGGTCGGGCGGGCGAAGCGGCAGCTCGGCGAGAATCGCGCGCCTGCGGTTTGCGGCTACGTCATCGTCTCGGGCGACTACGCGGTTTCGATTTTCTCCATCCTTCATGATATTCAACCGGGTTCGAAATCTCGCTACGCGAAGGCGTGGAGCTTTTACATCTGCGATTCCCACGGCACGCAGCCGTGGTCGCTTCACAAGGCGAGCATCTGCGGCGTCACCTTTGGGGTGCCCTCCGCCGAGGCGGCTCCTTCCTCGACTTCTTCTCCTCCCGTTGGTGGCGGTAGCGCTCCCGCGGATCTCATCACCGTCGAGGATGGAATCCATTACTTCTCGACGATGTTGTTTGTTCTGTTGGAGCAGCACCGGCAGCAATGCGTGGTTAGTCCGACGCAGGTTCCGTATATGACATGGACACCTATTCGGCGAAGACGCTCGCTCGCGTATACGGCGGGCGAGATTAAGTCGATTATTGATAATCACTGGATCCCAAAGGTGCTCTCCGCCGAGGCTGTTAAGGAGCAGGCGAGACGATATGGCTTCAAACCCCTGGAATGCTTTTGGGGGATTTCGTCTCCACCATCCGCGAGTAAGGCACAAAACAACTCATTGTCATAAATATTTGGAGTTTCCCCTTTTTCTTTCTATGTGTGAGGTGAGTTCATGTGATAATCTGGCGGCTGAACGAGTTGGTTTTTCGATACTTTAATCCAACTAATGTTTCTTTATCCTCGTTGACTCATTGGTATCATTTCTATGAATACTCAGTTTGATTTGATCTATGGATCATGTTTCTCTGTGTTTCATGCTTCCAAAGGTTGTAGTGGGGTGAGAAAAAAAGAGTCTTAATGCGATGGAAGGAGAGAAATTATCTCTGCACTTTGAAATTCTATATTGATACCTTATCCATCTTTGTGTGTCCTTATGGTTTCCACTTAAGTGTTCCTTTGGTACGGACACCACTTGGGGGCGCATAATAGGCTTATCATTCTAGTTTAATTTCTATTTTAATCTTCTAACTCTTCTTTTCTAGGCGAAATTCGTACAAAACACGGCTTCTGAAGCGAGCTGCAGAAACAAGAGCTTCACTAAGCAATTAAAGCATCAAGAAGATCACCATTAAATTCGTGAAAGATCTCATACACGGCGTAACCATATCAGCTAAGCGAGATATATATACATATCTTTATATATATCTATATAAATAAATCTATTAATGGGTCTGCTAGAACGAAGGAAAGCAATCGAAGATGAAATCGCGCGAACGCAGAAGAATAAAAAGACGGAATACCACATCGGTCGCCTGAAAGGGCAGCTCGCGCGTATTCGAACGGAGATGTTGGAAAACGCCGCGAGGGCGGCGGGTGCGAAAGGCGGCGACGGCTTTGACGTTCGCAAGAGCGGCGATGTTCGTGTTGCGTTGGTAGGTTTTCCGTCGGTCGGGAAGTCATCTTTTCTCTCGCGGGTGACCGAGACAGAGAGCGAGGCAGCCGGCTATGAATTTACGACATTGACGTGCATCCCAGGGAAGTTAGTTCACAAGGGAACGGAAATTCAGATACTCGATTTGCCTGGTATCATCGAAGGGGCTGCGGAAGGAAAGGGGCGTGGTCGCCAGGTTATCGCGACGGCGCGGACTGCAGATATGATTATTCTGATGATAGACGCGGCCAAGGCAGAGGTGCAGCGTGGTAAAATTGAAAATGAGCTAGAAATGGTTGGGATTCGACTCAACCAATGCTATCCTAACGTGACCTTCAAGAAAAAAGCATCCTGCAGCATGAATGCGATCAGCTACAGCTCTAACACGAAGCAAACCAAGGGCATGTCGGAGAGCATGGCGAAGGAAATACTCAAGGACTACGGCATTTTCAACGCCGAAGTCGTCCTTCGAGAGGATATCACCATAGATCAGTTTATCGATGTCATTGAGGGAAATCGAATCTACATGCCTTGTTTGTATGTTTACAACAAGATCGACTCCATCACAATTGAGGAGATGGATCGTCTGAGCAGGATGCCTCATTCTGTTGTGTTATCGCTGCAGTGGGATCTTAACGTGGAGGAAGTCATCGATGAGGTTTGGGAGCACCTCAACATTATTCGCATTTACACGAAAAAAAAAGGCAATCCACCTGATTTTTCTAAACCCTTCGTAACGAAGCGAAACTCAACCGTGGAGTACATCTGCAAGCGTATCCATAAGGATATTGTATCGCGTTTTAAGTACGCCTTAGTGTGGGGGACGAGTGCGAAGCACGCACCTCAGCGGGTTGGTATCAATCACGTCCTCGAGGATGAGGATGTATTGCAGATTCTGCTCAAGACGGCGAATGAATAAGGCCCTCGCTCTAATCTTGCCTTTCTAGGAAGTTCAGGAGGTCTGACTGGATTCTAAGATGATGAAGAAAAAAATGTCCAATACGGCACTTCTACTGTAATGGGGCGAACTGTTTAACGAAGACCCTCATAGTCGATTTTCGCTCTCGATGTGCATATTTGCTGGTTACGATTTCTGGCGGAGGTGGTGTTGTTTCTTCTTCGTATTGAGTGTTCCGCATTTTCTTGCTTCACTTTTTCATGTCTGTTAGTTGTGGTGGACATCTTAGCGCCGTCTTGCGCTGTCTCTAGGCTTATCTCCCATACACACCGATACATAGTGATCTATCCTATTCCCCGACCCCGTTCCATGCGGCCATGAGCCATAGCTACCTTTCCATCGACTTTTTAACCTCCAAGGGGGTTGAGGTGACCAAACCGCTGAAGGATTGGCTCGTGCGGGCCTCTTTCCTGGCGAAGAACCGAAGCAGCGCGGTGGAGCGGCAGCGCTACGAGCGCTGGGCCCTGCAGGTCCTCGAGGACGCGGTGAATGGCGCCGGCGGCGTCGCGGCGGTCGATTGGGCGCGGATCTCCCCGGTGATGCCGCTGGGCGCGCCGGAAGGCCGCCCGTCGCTGCTCCACGCCTCCCCTTCCTCCCCTTCCTCCCCTCCCGCCGGCCTTTCCGTCTCCTCCGCGTCCGCGTCCGCGAGGGAGGCGCTCTACACGGAGACGATCCGGCGGGCCCCGGCGGAGCTGCGGGCGTACGTCGCCCAGGCCTTCGAGCTGTACGACCGCGACGTCGCG